TTGTTGGGCCAGATCTAAGGAGCCAGAGAGCGTTCAGCTCCTTTTTGCCTACAAAAGAGCAGCCAGACAACCAGCAAGAGGCCTTGGATGTAGCACAAGGTGATACTTACTTAGTCAGCCATTCTTTTTTTCAAATATGTATTTTTTTTTCATTCAGTAAACTAAGAGTTTCTCAATTTCACGATGACACAAGGAATTAAATTATCAATGGATTGTTTTTCTACAGCCAGCATTCTTCACACCAGAAATACTGTACCAAGTGAATTACAGGTTTTCCAGAACAACATAGATTATATTAAAAAAAGAAATAAAAATAAAAAATTGCTGGCTAACATTTCTTTAAAAAAACCTCCTAGGTTTAAGGAGATGTTTTCCATTTTACAGCCACACAACCCCATTTTATTGTGAATTTTGGGGGCTTTTTTTTCTTAAAGGGAACAGCTTTGTTAAGACATTGTTTGCGATTCTTCCAGTTTTAGACTTTGGGCTGCTTCTGTTTTCATTCTGTCTTGTCTCATTAGTCCATCAGTGCCATAGATCGTAAGCCAATAGCTGCTTCTTTATGACAAGTGATTTGATACTTTTTGTGATACACATTCATGAAAAAATATTTTCAAGCTACATACAGTTTATTGGTAGTAAGGTAGCTGATATAGACACCAGGCAGAAGGCAGAAAATGTCTAAGATGTTTATGTCTGTCTTTGCTGACCACTTCCTACGATCTGACTAGCCACAGAAATCCAAAGCCAGTGCACTTTTGTTTATGTCGAGTGTTCCCTGCTTAGCAATTCATATCTTGCTCACTACCTGTGTATTTTGAGCTGTTCTGAAACAGTAGTAGAGACCAAACATAAATGTGGTCCCCAGGGTGATCAAAGATTTAATCTGACCAGATGGGACAAACTTGAGAAAGATTTTGACTTTCCACTCTGTTTTGCAACAAGAAAGGCTGATTTTTTTTCTCCCGTCTTTTCTTTGTTAGAAAAGGCAGAGATCAGGCCATCCCCAGAGAAATGAGCAGGTGTGGCCATTTACAAGCATGTCTGGTTATATTATAAACCAACATAAGAAAAGTTTGAAATGGTTTGAAAAGATCTGCTAAACAGTTTTAATGTTTCATCCCAAATCCTATTTACTCAAACAAGAGCCGATCAAGGTCACAGTAAAACCCAGCCTGCCCAAACCTTTAAAGCTCGTGTAATTTTATTTTTTTTTTTATTTTTTTTATTCTGTCTTCTCTACTAACTGAATAGGTACATTTTGGTAATCCTTGCCTCTGGACAAGCACAGAAGTCTTTTTCTTTCTGAATGGCTAATAACAGAGCCGTTCTTTCTGTCTAATGATGAAAGAGGTGGCAGTCAAGTTCTTTCTCTTAGATGTACTGTGCACTCAGGGCAGACCATGGACGATTTTGAAACCTACAGCTATGGGAGTCACTCCCCCTCATAGGTACAATTCTGGTTTAATTTTGTTGCTGTGGAGTATCACTAATTGACCACTTTTTTTTTTTCCCCAGTCCATGGACATGGTAAAGAATTTTCTTTTTAAACACCAAATAAATGCAGCTCATGGGATTATATTTTTTTACAGGGAGAGTATAATACGTTATCAGACTTTTGGTGTAAACTCAGTTTGGATCCTCCCAAAATTCTGCCACAGGATGACTGAAAATCCCTGGCAGAGGATTTTTTTTGAAAATGCGAGAAGATTGCAGAATCTTCAGTGATTTAAGGTTTTATGAGGGTGGTTGGGGTTTTTTTTCCCCTGCAAGACTCCACTGCTCTCAATATTTTACTGAGTTGGTCAGCTCTCAGCTTCTGCCGCCGCCAAGCGACATCGCTGGCCGGGTAATGATCTCGGAAACTGCCCCGCCAATGTTTCACATTCGAATTCACCTTCCCAAATCCACAGCATCATTTTTGGCCAAAGTAATGTCAGTCATTGCCGTCTGCGGCGAGTACAAAAGGGACCCCCTAATGGCAGCCATTTTTATTTGTTTCTTAAGATCCAAAGGCTGCTGAAAGAACAATTGGATAAAGTTGAGGATTGGAGAAGCTTGATTTTCTTGTTCCAGTGAAATGAAACTCCCGTCCTTTTTTTCTTCCCCTTCCCCTCAAAAGCCGGAGTCTGCTAGGGGGTTGTAGCTGTGTCAAAGCCGTTGGGATGCCACTGCTGATCACTTTAATTACTAGGACTAAGGAGGATAAAATTAAAAGTAGCACCATTGAAGCAGTGGAAGAAAGCTTGCCGAGATGTCGGTGAACTGTGAAATATAAAAATTGCATACCAATACATTTTTATAGGAGGGAAACAAGGAATTACATTACTTATTCTTGAAGAGTTTGTCCTTAAATGGTGAAGTTTTCCTCGCCGTGCATCCGCATGGCAGATTTTTAGACCATTACAAAGTATTTGGGGGAAAATAACAGAGCAAACTTCAATGTCTCTTTGGCATGTCAGGTTCATGTCAGAGGGTGAAAGATTTTACTGAGTTTTCTCTTCAACTGTACAGGAAAAAAATCACTGTATCTGTGTTTGCATGGTCCTTTCTTGGTGCAGAGCTTCTCTTCGTGTCTCCTTTTTTTTTTTTAATATCTATATTCATGCCTCCATACCTCTCCCAAGCGCTTTCCTTTCCAAAATCTAGGGGATTGATTTGCTGTTTAATAATTGTTCTGTACCTCAAAACTTAATCTACCTACCTTTTCTGCTCTCAGATTCATTGCTCCTTCCACCAGTGTTTCCTCTGCCGAGCTCAGTAACTGAGGGTTCAAATACCTGAATTGAATTTAAGCAAGAACTAGGCTGTTTTTTCTCTTGTCCGCTGGTGATGATTGGCTTAATCAGCACAAACACAAGCCACAATAATCTGTGTTTGCTTGGAGATCCCCAGGATGTTAATGACTATGCTAATAATTCAGGATACAAGTTCTCTTTCAGGAGGAGGGGAGAAAAGGAGAGCAGGGAATCAGCCTGCTCAGTTTAGGGCACATTTGCCACAAACACGTAACTGGCCTTATTTTAAACTACGTGGGCTATAGTAGATTAAATTGTTTGATGTTCAACCACATGGGAATCTTAATATAAATTTTGCACATTCCTTCTTAAAAGTCATTTAAATCAAACCCACAAGTTCCTATATCCCAGGAATTACAAATAGTAGAGATTTGAGCAGTTTTATGTAATGCAAAATTCAATGTAATTTATGTTACCAAATACCGTGGGTCGAAATAAAATCAGTTGCTCTATCAGTTGGCTGGCTAGAAATTAAATTAAATTGATCTATTATAGTGCATAGGAGCAGGGGGGAAGCTTTCTAGTTGTCTTTCTAATGTGTACTTTACCAAATAAGTTTTTGATAGAACTGTTGCTCTGTGCCTTCTGGGAAGTTAAAGGGTGAGAAAGCAAACAAAGCCAATGTGCCATCCCGCTGCCTTGCAGGGCCCAGGCAGCATTGTCTTTCTAGGGGAAGGACATTAGGAGAAAAGTAAATCAAGGCAATCTGATAGGGAATCAGGGTTCTGTCACTCAGAGACAAGATATTGTGCTGTGTCTATATACTTTGTTTACTGTAGGGTTTTATGAGTTGTAACCTGCCCATGCAAGCTGTTAATGAGGCTAAATCTTGCTGCTTGAGGATTGAATTACAGCACACCTCTGGGCTAATGGTTATAAACAGAAAGTCCCATTAGGGCTGCATTCTGATTCAGTCATTTGCATTTTTTCTATTGTGCCGAGAACAATGCTGAGTAAATAGCTACAAACAAACAATTTACATGGAAATGGCTAAAATGTACCTAATTAGTATTTTGCACTTGTTTTATTAATGATTGCTTAAACTAAATAGCACTTAGCAGCAGCTCTCACCAGCATCTGCAGGTGTGGGATGCTCAGTTTCTGGGTTGGTGGGAAGGCTGCCAGGACGACTGTCCAAAGTTAAGCAGTTTGTTATATTCTACTCCGTTCAGGTCAACTGCCTATACCTGGGTTTTATCCTGGTCATTATGTCACTAATATGAAGTTATCGGCAGATTTGACTTAAAGCCAAATGCTGACTTTGTTGCACTTTTAAGCATTTCTAATATTGAGGGGAGGGGGAAAACAGTCCTAACTTTGAAAAAATCATATTTTTAAGGTGAAAACTGAAATTGTTTTCCTTATGGTTTGATGGATTCTTATAGATATGTTTAAACACATCTTTCTGTTAATATTTTTTTAGTATGGTGGGTTAGTCTTTTCCAAAATTTCATGCTGTAGAACATTGCTCATTTATGTAACTGAAATATTATCGTGCTTCTAAGATAGTTACGAGCTTTAGTGGGACAGCACTATCTGGGATGGTTCCAGTATGATCTCTTTAATTACTGACTGAAGCCCTACTAGTAGGATGTTTTAAAGCGATGCAAAGTCTTTTCTGCTCTGGCATCTATTGTTCTTTCATTAATTTTCATTAGTTTATTTTTTTTTAAAAAAGAGGTATCCATTGAAGTCAAAGGATTAGATTCCGTTCCATGCCTCAGATTCGATGTCACTTTACACTTTGAAGTCAGCTTGGTGATTGGAGTAACCAAGAGCAACATCTGGCTTCTTATTTCAGTTCTATGAGAGAATATTACTCAAACAAGTAATTCAATTTAGTAAAACCATTTTTATAGCCAAGGTAAAACTTTTTGTAGTTATTACTTTGAGACAAAAGTGTCTGAGAATTTTCATCAAGGTACATAATTTTTTTTTTTAAGAACATAATTTATAAATGCTTTAAATTGAAAATAATTAGGTTTCTAATGCATTAATAATTTGGGGAATGCTTTAAAAAAAAAATCTGATTCATGGATGTCTTTAAAAATTGTGGTGTGACACCCAGCTGTAATCGAGCATCCTATTTATAATGTGGGCCAAGCACCATGCTGTAAACCAGTTACTATCATGATGATCAGATTGAGAATGAAATTGCATTTCTGTCTATTACTGAGTTGGCAACTGTTCAATATATCTTAGCAGCAAGATGAAGAGCGGCGGCGGCAGCTGAGGGAGCGAGCTCGTCAGCTAATAGCAGAAGCTCGATCTGGAGTGAAGATGTCAGAACTTCCTAGCTACAGTGAAATGGCTGCAGAAAAGTTGAAAGAAAGGTCAAAGGCATCTGGAGGTGAGCTGAGGAACCTTGTATCTTATTCCTATGGCAACCTAGAAACCAGAGACCTTTTTGGATATCACTTTTATTCATACTTCAAAATGTTGTTGTTCATCAGGTGCACATATCAAAAGACCTGGCCATAGATATGTTTCCTAAATCATCGTTGTGTCACTTAATTTCCAACAATTAAAAGAAAAGCATATATGTGATTGAAAAAAAAAAGATGTTATGTGAACAAGTAGCTCATATTGGCCCATTATTTACAGATTTGTCATTACCCACAGTTTTTTAGAATTTTATGATTGTTGGTTAAAATCTCTTCAATATATATTTTTATATAGGAGCATGGGCATAATTTTGGGGGAAAACAACATTAGAAATACTTAAGAAACTTTATTTTCTATTAAATGTGTTCAAAAGACTGCTTGGGAAGAGAATTTTAAAGGCGGCCCATGGGAGGTGGAGGCAACAACCTTTTGATTTTAAATGGCAGTTTTTTGACATACCACTTGCCTTCACAGGTTTTGAGTTGTAATATTGCTATAATGTTTTTAAACTGACTTTGAAATGTCATTAAAATTCATATACCTGCCAGTGCTACGAGCTGGAGTAATGTAGTGTCACTCAGACTCAAATGGGTGCTGAGCACACGTTTCAGTACAGGCTTCTTGCTCTTTTAGTGTCTTCTACATATTCTAAGGGGAAATTGTTTTTCTCATACTAACATGTAATTGTAAGCCAAAGTGTCAGGAAAATCCAACTTTACGTTCACAATGCATGTAGATTCAACAACAATATTTTTTTCTTCTCTACTACGTGTATTTTATATGCATATATATTTAAATATAGTCTTATTGCACCCTAAACCCTACACTTCTGTTCCATTTAACATCAAAGAGAAAAGCAGTTAGTTGTACGTCTCTCTTTGGGTCTGGTCTTCAGTTTCCTCTCTTCGCCCAGTAAACCAAGCTTGTCAACATAACTCTCTTTCATGATAAATAGGGAAACTACATCCTTGATGGGGAGGGAGTAAGCCAGGCTGAGCAAAATGGCACAGTACTTGTATATTAAGTAGACTATGGTGTTCTTCATCCCTCTTCACAAGTTATGACTTTCCATTCTATGTTATTTAATAACTTCCTCCTCACTGTTTTATCGTGCCTGTACATAGCTGTTCCTGCCATCTCTTCCCTCCAAGTAAGGTACACTTTCTGGGTATATCCTGAGTGCTCAGCTGGATAGTAGTTACCCTGTTTGTCGCAGTGACTCACTTGTAGTGTTGCTAAATATCCCAGTATGCTGCTTTCTGGGATCTGGCCTTCCCTGTTCATATTTTCCTCTGCATTTTGCCATTGCTCTTCCTGCCCTTCGTTCAGTTTATAAACAGTCTCAGAGGTAACTGTGCACTGTGCATATATATTTTTTTAAAAAGTATTTATATATATATAGATTGCATATGCACTCAGAGAGTTTCAGTGTTATTAAAGGAGGAGACAGTATCAGTACTGATGACAACTTGTTTATAGCTATCACCACTGTATCTGTTGGGTTTTATCCAGTATAACAATTTCACTGCTTTCTACTTTTGCATGTGCTTTGAATTATCTCCTTGGTTTATAGTTCCTACCTTGATTTTTCTTTGTATATAGATTGCATACGCACTCAGAGAGTTTCAGTGTTATTAAAGGAGGAGACAGTATCAGTACTGATGACAACTTGTTTATAGCTATCACCACTGTATCTGTTGGGTTTTATCCAGTATAACAATTTCACTGCTTTCTACTTTTGCATGTGCTTTGAATTATCTCCTTGGTTTATAGTTCCTACCTTGATTTTTCTTTGTTCATACAGTAGTTCGGCCAAGCTATTTGAACTTCTCTTGGACTTCCAGTTTTCATTCCCTGTCTCCTTTTATTCCTCTTTGCTCTTTTCACGTCAATGTGCATTTTATAGCACTTACTTCTACTTATTCATTCTCAGAAAGCTTTCCTTATGGCACATGTTCCACATACTTCTACCACACTGCTGGTAATGTCAGGTGCCACACTAGATCTCCACTCAAGAAATTAATTCTTCTAAAATGGAGTAGTTCTGTGAAATGGCACCAACACTTTATAAACTAAATAAATTATAATTATTTCTGGGTTTAGTCTTTTTCATTTTTTTATTTCCACTAAAAATTAGGATTTAATAGACAGTCTCCCTATTACAAATGGATTCTGAATATTGCCCCTGACTGCATTCACATGTAGCAGGTTTTTTTCTGTGTATAGTCCTGTATTCCCTATACAATACCCAAAACAAGCTTGTAGTAATATCTTACGTCTTCCAAGCTCTCTTGTCCATTATGCTTCATTAATGTCGTCTTCTGCATTGATTGCTACATATTAATTTACAAAAAGGGAATGTACCAAATCATTTTCCTCTCTCAATTCAGTTATTCCAGAAAAAAGTGACATTTCAGCTTTGGGATTTTGGAGTTTTTAAAGACTAACCTCTTGCCCACTATTGTAGGTGAAAATGTGATCTCTTTCAATGTTTCTATATGCTCATTAAGAGTTTCATGCTTTGGCACTGGTGCTACATTCTCTGTTAAAAGGCTTTATTTAATCATGGTCTGAAAAACTCAAATGCCTATGGCAAGTTGAAACTTTCCTGGATAAGCAGCATCCTTTGCTACGAAATCCAGTCTTTTTCATAGGTTATTTGACATGTGAGACAGAAAATACTTCTTCCTGCCAACTGCCAGAGGGTTTGGGATGGCAGCTTCAAATTTATTAGATGTCCTACTAGCTTCAGGCTGATAAGCGGATGCCTTGAGATGGGTCCAGGGACAGTATCGAGATAGGAATCCAAATATCCTCCATTTTCCCAGCAGCGACGGGACAAAGGAATTGACATCTTATCTAGGTATTGTCCCTGTGCAGTGGCACACCCGTCTACTCTCTTGGGATTTGGGTAGTGTGTTTTCTTTACTCTCTGGCACATCTCCATCCTTTATTTGAGATGGCGTCTTTGTGAGGATGTGGCTCGGGTCTGGAGGTGGTGAGTAGGCAGCAGAGGGAGGGAACAATAGAGAGGACAGGGGGTAAGACAAGCATAGTGTGAAGAGGCTTTGGTGAAAAAAAAGTGCCAAAAATAGGCAAAACTGGGAGGGGAGAAGAGGATGAACACAAGAACAACGCAGAAAGATGTTAGAGGAGCAGGGAGGGAAAAACACAGGAGAAGCAGCATCCAGATGTATTGTAAAACAAAAAAAGTTTTCAAAAATTTTGGAATTAATAACAAAAGCTGGAAAGCTGTACTGCAGTTAAAAAACTTACCAAAGCGAGCCAGCTGGCATTGCATTGCACTTGTATGCTTAAAGTTTTCAGGGTACGTTACAGATTTTACTTCTAAGGCAATGATTTGGAAGGAATGTACGTGGTAGCTCAGGCTTACTCATCATGCTTAGTCTCAAACTCATAAAACAGCGTTAAGTCCTCAATTTAATATTTTTAACAGGCAGTATTTGTATCTGTTGGCAGTTACTGCTGTACTTTCTTGTCCTGACATCTGATTTCTTGTACATTGAACCAGTATTTCGACTCTGCATTTTGTCCATTCCCCGCCTTTGCTTCCTTTATTACTGTTCAGATGCTCCTGTCACATCCTGTAGCCTTAAAGTGAACTCTGTACCTGAAAGTAAATAAACTAAATATCTGAATATCCGCAAGCTTGAAGGATTTCCCAGAGACAATCCTGGAGGCATCTTCCCTAAAGAGCGAGTGCTGTTCATGCAACTCCAGTGGCAGCTTACATACGCTTCTCCCACTAATGTGATCCAGCCCCCATCAGTGCTTTTACCTCTCTATGAAAATCGTTCCTTTTTAATTTCATCTAGAAATTGATGCAGTCTGCTGCAACTCCTTTGCATGTGGACAAGCTTAAACCAAGTCAAGAGAATATCAGTTTAACCACAAATTAAGCCTGAGCTTAATCTGAATAGTAAGACATATGAGCTATAAAATACCTCTGGATCTTTTTTCCCACCAATATTCTGGCATTTCCATTTGGTTCCAAAAGATTCTTAGTTTGCTCTCTTCAGTCCAGACTGCAGTCCAGACTGCAGTACCTACCTACTGTGTAGGTAATGGTCAGTGCTGTTTAGTTGTTGACTTAATCCTTTATCTTTAATTTTGTTAATTTCTTCATGACATAGTAAAGCTTCGCTGTCTTTCTAGGATCCACATTTACATACTTTTCAAGGAAGCAGTTCTTTAGTACTCTTCTAAATACGTGCCCTGGTTCTAGACCAAGTGCTTTAAGTTTTTCACACTAGTAATTTGTTCTTTTCATAAAAGATATCTGTTATCTCTTCGTCATGTTGTTCCTTTTATCATTTATAATTGCAAAATCTTGTTGTAACATGCTCCCTAAACACATTTCCCTTTTTAATACAACTGGAAGAAATTGGACTGGAGAAGAAAAAACCTAGAGTAGTTTAAAACAAAGAATCTGTAGATTTTGAAAGATATTTGAAAATTTCTAAAATTACTTCAAATGAATGCTTTTAATTGAATTTTTTTTTTAATAAAGTGTAAATGTCCTGATAATCATATTCAGTCGAAGCCTGCCAACTTTAAATTAAATACTAGGTCAGGTCATTATCTGACACTAGGAATGTCTTCAACATTCCCATCTTTTTCGTTACCTAAAATGGTGGTGTCAAAGACAGTGCCTCTGATCTCATCTCGCTATATTAAATTAAATAAAATCAAATAATCTAATATAAGCATTCCCTTAGTATGCAGCAGTCTTAAACCCTGTCATCTTGTTTAGATTGTTTTGACATATCCAGCATCCTGCTGGATGACTGGTAGTTGCGTGCTGACCTTGCAAGCTGACTTCTTTGGGTGCTTTGGAAAGTCATTGCCTGCCTCTAGGTTCGAGGTGGATTTGGTTTCCCTCTGCCACAGCGGTGTCCCTCTTTCTTTCTCTTCCACCTCTTCCAAATGTCCATGGTCCTTTGCTGCTGTTAGCCCAGTCATGCTTTCAGTGTGCCACCGTGAGCTCCAGGATACGTTTGAGAGTACCGTGGCCTGAGTGCCACTGAATTTCTCTGACACCATCATGAAGGATTTAAAATCATGTGAGAAGTCCAGCTCCTCATTAGAAAAAGTAGAGATGCTTTGAAGAAAATTCAGAACTTTAGAGTTGTTGCTGTTGCTGCTTTGCCATTCTCTGTTTTCTCTTCAGTCTGCTTTTTACCCCATCCCTTTCTCCACTTCATGATGATCACACTGTGCCCTTCTACTTTGTTCACCTACCTCTGCGCTACCTGAAACAACTGGAGTCCAGATCACAGAACCATCTGTGTGAATTTAAGTGGGAACAGAAAGAATGTCAAAGAGAGTCCTGAGTGTTTCTGCCCACCCAGTTGTACACCTGAAGCACTATCTGTCAGGTCCCAGGTCTGGTCGCAGATCCTGGTTTGGCTGGGGAGAGGTGTTCTTCTCCATCCCTCTGGCTCAAGCTGAGGCAGTTTGGAAGAAAGCTGACTCTTCCAGGGACCATTGAGAATTAGTGGAGAGGAGCCCAGGGAAGTCATGGTGGTCAGCTGAAACAGAGGTGTCCTACTTCACAGACTGCTGCTCCATCGTACACGCAACAGATGTTGAATAAGACACTGAAACGGAAACTTCTTTGCTTCTGTATGTCGCAGCAAGAGCTTTACACTGAATCGGCAGAGGTCTGCGAAAGACATTGATTAATTACAGAGGAATTGAGGGAGCAGCTGGTTAGAAAAGAGTAGCAGACATATAAAAAAGTCAACAGGCTCCTAAAATGGGAATTATAGGGACTGTGGAGATAAAGAGGTAAAGAAAAGAAACAACTGTATGACCTTTTTGTCAGTAGTGTGGGCCTGAAGTGCAAACATCTGGGGATGTGTATTTCAAAGACAGATGATGAGTGATGAGCACGAATCCTGGTCCAAACTTCCCCAAACTTCTGGTATTCAGGATTATGGCATCTTGGTACTATGTTTAGGATCCTTTTTGTTTATATGGTGTTTGAATGTACCAATGTCCAGTAATTATAATTAGTATTTTTTCCTATTGTGAAGTGTTTTAAAGTTCCTTTAGTTACTATATGTGTCTTCTTTCTCCAGACGCACTCCAGCCTTCTCTTTTTTGTCGTTTTTACACGCATGCATATATACATAGGAAAAAAATGTATGTATAAGTCTGAACAAGTCTAGATAGCATTTGATATGAGACTTAAAAGTGAGTAAATACAATGCAACTACATGCTTTGAAAGTACTAATCTAGCTTTTATGGACTTTTAATTTCATTATATATTTGTATTGAAAATGTGAGTCAGATTTTTTTTTTCTGGGATCTGCTTCACAATTCAGCATTTGCTATTTGATCTTCCTCATGTTACTTACTCTTTCTGTGCCATAATTTACCTACATCATCATAATTGTAATTATAATAATCGCCTACTTCATAAAACATTATGGGGCTAATTTACAAGTGATATTCATAAGTTGCTCTGAGAAACTGGGTAGAAAGAGCCCATAAAAAATATAAAGTACAATTACAATTATTATTTTATTTAAAATGTATGTAGCTTACAAACAATGCTGATTCAAAGTGGTGCAGTAAGGCAGCAATCTGTGAGTGTGCTCCTGCTACACCTGAGGTCAGCGCTTGCTAAGCGTGATGTTCCAGGTTGTAGTTTTCCTCTTCGTATCAGAAGTGGTGGAAGACGCTAACACCTAAGCAAGGTACAGTGATCACTGGTCTGTGATATATTGTGCAAAGTAAGGAGTAGCAACTCTCACCGAGCTGGGAAGCAGCTCTCGGTACCTGGAGCTGCTGCCTTTCTCAATAGACTGCAGCTCCCAGGTCCTTCTCCTGCCATCCAAACCTGCCGTATGCCGGCTTCGGCATCCATTCTGCACTACAGAGAACTGGGAGCCTAAGGGAAATTATTTTGACTCGAGTTATGAGGAAAAGCATACATGCTTTTCAGAGTTAGCCAAAGATTCAGCGCAGAGAACAGACACTGCTGAGGCCAGACTCTACCTTTATTGTAGCAGGAGTTTCCAGCAGAGCCCCCTGTGTGTATATTGAATTGCATCAGTTTAAAGTTAAATCCATGAGTGGACAGAGTGAAATCTCCTTCCAGACTTATTTAATGATTTGCATTTTTATCATAACTCTACTTGTTCTCTAAAGCATTCTTTTTTTTTTTAGTGATGTGGTGCATGTACATAAGAAAATACTAACCTTAATGCTGTATGTTCCTACAGATGAGGATGAGGATGATGATAATATTGAGATAGATACTAATGAGGATGTTCCTGAATGCTCTGTTACTGGAGGTGGAGATGAGCTTACTAACCTAGAAAATGACCTTGATTCAACGGGTAATTTAAATAATGGCTATTTTGTGTATTTTGCATGACTAACACTCCATCATCATATTAGTACTGATGTGCTGCTTCTCTCTGTCATAGCTTTATTCCTTCGTGCCTTTTCAGGTCTTTTAAACCCTAATGCTTATTCTTTTTTAATATTTTGCATTCATGTTTAGTTGAAATTTAAAATCAGCAACCAAATCATTATTTCCAACAATGGCAGACTTAAATGTCTCTTGAGGGGAGGGGGACCCAGGCCAGATTTGTAAAGCAGAACCACCTGAAATCACCCTACCTGGATTGTCCCAGCAAAGCAAGGTAGGCAGGCCAGAGGAGTGAGCAATTGAGTTGGTGAGTACAGCTGCTGCTCTCTGCACCGACATCCTGGTCCATGGGCTCAGTGAAAGGAGCAAACATGCCTCTATGTTTCCATGTAGGCTTGGTAGCCCTCCAGTTCCTTCCTGAGTACCAGTTCTTGTATTTATACCTTGTTGCTCAAGTGGGGACATGGAGGTATAAATTTGAACAGAATTAGTCCTATTTACTTTACAAAGTTCAAGTAATAGATTTTTAATAACACATTTGAAAACCATTCGTAATCATAGAATAGTTTGGGTTGGAAGGGACCTTTAAAGGTCATCTAGTCCAACCCCCCTGCCATGGTGTGACATGTATTCTTGTAGAAATGCTTGTATAATCTTAGCACATGCTGGTCAAGTAATAATAAATCATAGTAGTGGTATTTCCCCTTTCAAAAATTGTAATCAAGCAAAACTGGAGTTCAGGTTCCTCCATAGTTGATAAATATGTCAGGATCTTACAAGGGAGATGCTTATTTAAAAACGCACTAGATCTTCAAAGATGTGAAGGTAATTGCCCATCAGTAAGGGGCTCCTCTGCTCACAGAGAGTTGCTGAAGGAGTTTGTTCTCTGTACAAGTCTGCCTGTTGCCAGTGGCCCTGGGGATTGCTGAGGGCCTCTTTGTAGTACGGTGTGCTTCTCTGCCAGGGCGTTTCTGCTCCCTACAAGTTAACTTGAGCCCGGAGAAGTGTGCTAAGCACAGGACAGTATCGGGATAAAGGCAGTACAAGAGAGAACTTCTTACAGCATCCTCTGACTTGGTTCTGTCCATGCCAACCGGACCCAAGTTTGTAGCCCATAATATATTAAATCAAAAGACTTCATTTAGTGTTTGCTCTTTGTAAATTAAACTGACAATGATGTGTATATAGCACTTTCTAGTCTTTTTGAATGCGAAAGGTTTGAGTCATGTCCTTTATTTTTTTTATTTGAGGATTTCCAAACACATAAGAAAGTATATTTAGTATTTCCAGCATTTGAATTAAGCTGATTTAGAGCAGAATCCTTGTCAAATAATTTTCCAATAAATACTGGTTCATTTTAGGAGAAGTAGAAAATCAGTAAATGAATATTCCTGTCACATAGCCCCAGTGACTTACCAACATTTATATCTGTGGGCCTTTTTTCTTGAGAGATACCTTCTCACGGATACAAACCCACTACCCAATGCTTCATCTCCACCATGGGAAGACATTCTGGAAAAAAACTGGGACATCATTTTGCAGTTCAGTCTGCACAGTAGCCAGAGGAACAAACGAGTAAGGAAGGGGATGGGCAATAATACAGAAAACAGTCTAATGCTGTGATAGAAATCAGCGTACACAGATTTCGATGGGATTCTGCCAATTCATACCAAGTTCTAATGAAGGCTGAATCTCCTGGGAGCACGTAAATGCAAAACTGTAAGGGACATTTCACATTTGGGATCATTACGACCATCTTAATTAATTTGTCCCCTGCTGAATCTTAGTCCCTCCCATCTTTCTCAAGAAGAGAAAACTTTTTTATTTTTACGGCCAGTTGTTGGTTTTAAATATTGCATCTGTCTGTATTTGTCAGTACTGCTACCATACGCTGCTGTGAATGTATCTGATAAAATGTGAACCTCTTATATCATAGTTATTACATGATGTTTATGTATAAACCCATGAGAATGTGCATGTACTTACATGTGAGCCTCAATTAAGGGCACTCTGACTGGGTGTGCCAGAGAAAAGGGAAACTATCCTTCGTCATAACCCAACCCAGCCCATTGCTGCTGGTGGCAGGCATCGTTTGATTGCCAGCGTGCCAAAAATATTTTGGCTAACATGAATCAGAGCGCTCCAAACCTTGGAAGGAGCTGTGCAGCAAAAGAGTCATGGCTCCACTTCCCACACCAGCTAGAAGTCACCAGCCCGCAGTGAAAATCTCAGGCTGTGCCTATAGAAAAACATAGCAACTGCTATTTTTTGAGCCAAGTGTTTGACCCAAGGCCCAGATGTATGTGCATAGTATACGCAGATGATGCTGCATTCGCTCCGTTTCAGGGGCAATTTCTCACGTGGTGATGCATGTAGAGTATGTCTGGGGGCTTCTGCGCCAGTGTTGTTCTGCTTTCCTACCCAGGGTTAGCTCCATAGATCTGCGCTGTGGTTTGTTATTAACACCTTTCTCCTTATTATGTGTGTATGTGTAGGTAAGTGTGTGTGTAGGCGTGTTACAAATTCATATAGTCAACGGTCATGTACAGAATGAGCATTATTGGGAGGTAAAATTCTCAACTCTTATTTCTTTGGGCTCTGATCCAAGTTGCTAAAACTGATGAAAAAAAATTTGGGGGCTTCAGCAGACTTTGAATCTGTCCCTTCAATGCAGTTATGAAGCGTTTTACAGCTCTCACGGCTTCAACGTATTCTATAAATCATAGTAAAATATTACTAGAAAGCTGTCTCTTTTGATACTGAAATTTTAATGGTGAGAAGCTGTGCCAAGGAGCCTTAGGATGAATTAGTAGTTCATAAACTTGAGGGGTTATCAGTACTTAGAATATGTGATAAATTGTTATATGTCATCTTAAAACAAATGACTCTTTAAGGGTGTTTTTATACCAAAGTATAGGTATGTACAAGTTGGGAGTAACTTAAAGTAAACATTGTCTCCTTTCTGTGTTTTTTCATTGACTGTCTTCAAGCACGTTTACTTGTTCAGCTGAGTGCTACATATATTTTTTTTGAGAGAACTTAGGCATTATCTATGCACGTTATACAAATTTACGCCAATCTGAATTGCAAAAAAAAAACCATTTTCCTTCTAGTTTTTACTTTTTTAGTTTGAAATGATAGCAAAGTGAATGAAATCTACCTTTTAAATTGCTACATTGTTGTAGCGACTCTGCATTTAAATGCATCTCACTCTGTTGTATGTGGTATTTGCATATTTAGCAGAACAAAACAGTAAGTTGGTGGATTTGAAGCTGAAGAAGCTCCTAGAAGCTCAGCCACAGGTGGCAAATTCACTCTCCAGTGCTGCTCAGAAAGCTGTAACTGATAGCTCAGAGCAAGACATTAAGGTAAGTTTTGATTAATGCTTTTGTCTCAGTACCTGTGTGTTCCGATTTCGGGTTTGTACTTCGTGAGGAGGAAAATGATTTCTTATCAAAGCCTTCACAGCTTTGAAACGGTAGAAAACGGTAAGAAACGCAGAAAATCTTCATGGCAGTGCAGTTGCATAGTTTGCAATGCACTGGGTTTTTTCCTGTTGATTAATCAACACGTTTTCCTTTTTTTTTTTTTTTTTTATCTTGAGACTTGTCATTGGCATAACAGTAAGAGATATAACAAGCATTTCTCAGTTCTTATTGTTCAGGTTGTCACTGAAATCAGAAATACAGCACGGGCTCCATCCTGCTGCTGGTGCAATCAGCAGCAGGACTCTCCCTGACTTTAACGGGAGCAGGATTGGACTCTCAGTGATTTGCTTCCCTCCCAAGCCTGACCCTCTGTTTTTTCTCCATTAAAATTAAGCTGTGGTACACTTTAAAGGCATACATACTTGGGTGCTTGACAACGAGTGCTTCTGAGAAAAATAGACACGAGTATGCGGTGTATGCGGTCGTTTTGCCTATTCTTAATCTTCACCACTTCAGCATAAAGCGCACACCAATTAATTTTCCATTTCATTTTCTTAATTAGACCCCTTGTGTTCTTACTATTATATATTTTTTTTAAATAGTCCCTGTATGTCATTAATATCCCTATGGCTCTGGGGCACTTCCAGTTGGGTATAACTTTTCACCCACCTGCAGTCTGGGGGGAAAGCACTGCTGACTGAAAGGATTTCCTTCCCCAGATACAGAGATGCTTTGAAGTCCCAAAACAATGACTTTCATTGCTTTTCCCTTACACTGTCGGTTCCTATAAATTGGTGATGAAAGTGTGTGGCAGCAGCAGAGGACTTTCGGTCTCTATCTTTGAACAAAAGGAAGCCTGGATCAAGTCTGATTTTTGCGTTCAATTTAGCTTTCTGCAGTGGATTTAATGCAAAATGAAGCTGGCCCAAGAATAATACAATGGATTGAAAAGGCTAACTGAATTAGTGGGCTTAGAGGAATACATTTGTAAAGTGGCAGAAGTCCCCAGTCATAAAAAGGTTTCTTAAAATGGGATTTACTGGCTAATCACACTGATATTTTAGCATGTTGCCAGGCCTAAAAAATTAGTCATGTTTGTTTATTTTGGTAAAGACTGCTTTAGGCTGTCAGATGGTTATTGTGCTAATAACAGGAAACCACTTTTATTTAACCAGAATCATAACCACCCGATTAGTGCAGCTGAAAACTCATCCAGAGCATACGAGTGATACTTTTTTAAGCTTAATTGGACAAATGACACACGGGCCGCCTCTTAGGGTAATTGGGTATCACCTAACCTGACGAAAATGGTATTTCTTTTTATGAAAAGCTTCCGTGAAGGAGTTGCTTTTTTTAAGGTACTCCCACAAAAGGTGCAACTTAACAGTTCATCTCTGTGTACGTCTTTCTAAGTAAGAGTTGGAAAGCGGCATTATAAGGAATATATGATGTCCATCTGTTCTCATGGAGCTCTCAGCATTGAGGTGGATTTGTTTTTTAATAAAATGCAGTTTACACGTTTCTAAATGAGGCATTCTGTGTTTGTGGAAAAGGATAAACTGTTACCTTCCCTTGGGGATTGTGTATCCCCGGCCTCCTTGAGGCTAGAGAATAGGCCATTGGAGAACTCCCTCATTACCGATTGTCTCAATGCAGAGGAAGGGCAAAGTCTTGGTAGCTTTTGATAACCAGTTTCAGCATTCAGCAGGCTTAGCTATTAGTCATGCATCTTAGCCTTTGCCTATTTACTTTCAAAACACTTAATAAAAATAATAAAAGATTAGGTATAAAATGAAATATTTGTTTGGTACACAGCACCTCGGTATCTGCAGTTTCCACACGCTGCGGTGGTTCAGTCTTCTGGGATATTTCGTGTTGATAGAACCATTTGAATTTGTTACCAGTATTAACATAGGAAGCCCTGGAAAAGATAATTGTAGTTTCCTTAGCTGTAAAGGGCTTACTTACAAATCTGGCTTTGGAAAGTTATAGCTGATCAAATGCAGTTCAGTGGGGTAGTATTATAATCCTACCTTTTAGCCTTCATCTAGCATTAGTGGTTTATCTCAATGGGCATAAAATTAGAAACTAGTTCTTCTTGTCATACAAGTCTGTGGGACTACAGAAAACGACAGATTTCTTTACCGGGCAGGGAGACAGGCTAAAGGCAACACGCTTTTAAAACGATACAGATCATGTTCAGGGGTAGAGACGCCACTACTTGGCAGCAGCATGTGCAGCACTTGGCAAATCAAAGTTGCAAAGGAGTGATTTTTCATTTAAAATTGGAATCACTGGCAAATACCGGTCACAATTAATAGGTCTGGCTGTTGAGTAAGTAGAGGGTCCTGCAGGAGCGTGCCCACGTAGCAAAAAGCTGGTCGTTGCCACCACTAAACAAAAAAAAGGAAAAGTTAATCAGTCTTCTCCTTTTTTTCCGCAGCTGATACTTTCATCCTATATAAACCGCAGCCCGAGTTGTGAAATCCTCTTTGCAAAAGCTGCATCCTGTCCCCTCGCCGAAACGTACCTTTTCGAATTTGTGTCTTCCCATTTGTAAACAAAAGAAACTGTTGTGCGTCTGTTTTTTTTCCTAGCAGAATGGAACAGAGGAACATCGTGCTGAGCGATTACAAAAAGCAGCAGAACGGTTTAGAAATCCCGTTGTGTTCAGCAAGGACTCTACCGTCAGAAAAACTCAGCTCCAGTCTTTCAGTCAATACGTGGAGAGCAGACCAGGTAGGAGAAAATATAAAACCTGTTTTCCCATCTTATGATTTAATAATATTTAACAATAAATATATGAAAACCCGATAATGTAAGTCCACATTTCAATACATAAATATCAAGCTTTATAATAATTTTACATGTCTTTCCCCTTTTTTCAAGAGATGAAAAGGCAGAGATCAATACAGGAAGATACAAAGAGAGGAAATGAGGAGAAGGCTGCGATAACTGAGACTCAGAGGAAGCCATCAGAAGATGAAGTGCTTAATGTATATTAATTTTTTGTCTGGTTTCATGATTGCTGATAATTCCAAACTGTATGTGGAAATAGTGCCTTTATTTGTTAAAATGAGATGTTAGGGTTTTTTAGATGTCAATCTCCAGTGCATTCAAAGCAGAGTGAGAGGGGTGCACTGTTGAATTAGTCTGCAGTGTGGTGATAATTGTCAGATAAAAAAAATGAATTTTTCAGAGTTCCACAGCCCCGGCTTCCTTGAGACATTTCCATCAGGGCACTTCCCATAAAGAGATTCCAGTATTGATCTACCAGGAGGATTTTAATTATTACAATAGCAGATACCGCAGAGCTGCAGTTAGAGGGAAGAGTCACATGAGACCTGCTAGAATTTCTCAGCCAACCCATTTTGTTGGCTTGGGTTAATGGGTGTTCAACCTTTCCATTATCCAGATCAGCCGTGAATTACTAGCTGAATGATGTTTGCATTAATATAATATATATGGTAATTTCTTCACTTAATTAACGGGGAGGTTCAGCTCAGTAGGGGTATGGGCTGATCATGTGTAAAATTGATTTGTGAGGGAAATATTTGATAGACCGCAGGGAGAAAGCTGGTTTTGATGGACAGCTGCGGGACAGAAGCAGGAAGAACAAGTTTTAACCTGAATTTTTTTTGTCTGAAAACACAACACAGCCTTTGATGGTGGTCGTTTGTTGCTCTCCACAATTTATCTAAAAACATTTGTCGTTTTTGCTGAAGCAATCTAGAGCTGAGTAGCGATTTTGTACTGCTGTCATATCTACACCAAAACATCGAACTTTTTACGAGCCGGAGTTATTTTTAGCCCAGTTGTACTTTTGCAGAGCTGAAAAGGTCTGGCACAGTAAGTTCACATTATATATGCAGATGATACACGTGAACTCTTGGGATATTTCAGCCTGACACAGCATTTCTTTTCATCTTCTAATAACAATTGTTAACAATTATGCATGCTGACATTAGGAAAGTTTTCATACT